TTTCCATGTCCTACTTGTGTAGATAAACACGTGGACTCTACGACTAGATGTGGTGCATGTGGCACTTCACAAACTTATTTCCATGTCCTACTTGTGTAGATAAACACGTGGACTCTACCACTAGCTGCAGTGCATGTGGTACTTCACAAACATATTTCCATGCCCTACTTGTGTAGATAAACACGTGGACTCTACGACTAGATATGGTGCATGTGACACTTCAAGTTAACTTTTGGTTTTATTAGCTTGATGAATCAATCCACATTCAGTAAAAACAATTTTACCCAGGTTTTCTGTGGGAATGGTAATAAATAGGGTTGTTGACTTTCTTCATTGATCTTATCACAGTTCTCTCGAGTTAAACGATTTAAATGTATAACGTCTAAAAAAAATATGTATGGCTGTTGTAAGAATAATTTCACGTTAGTATAAACGTTCAGAAAACTTTTTGTGCAAGAATATGTGTTCACTGTTTGATAATATTTTTGAAGAGATTTTAAAGTTTGAAAAAATAGGAATGACATATTTGTGTTTGATTATCTCAGAAAATTTAAACGACATCTATTTTTGTTTAGTTTGAGAAAACTTTTTCTACCTTTCCCAACTGCATTATACTGTCTTTCTTTATGTTTTGGACACCCGATTTATTTCTAGGATATCTAATTTTAATAATAAAAATTAAAACTGATGATAGGATAAATCACGTGGCAATTTATTCATTGCCACGTCAACAAAATTACCATAAAAACGTCCACATTAATAACACCTTTTCCGTTGTGTATGCATACTCCCCTTGAATAATTACCTTTCTACAATACTGTGTAATATTGCGCTGCACCTATATGAATAAAACTCACGCGACGCAACAAAGTTCTTTCCCCTAGAAACTGCAGAACGATTTCTACAAAAAACTTTCACATCAGTATGAACAAGATTAGTCTATCATATTCAAGTCAAGTTACTTACCGATCAACTGGAAAGCTGCTAATATAACAACCATCAAGAAAGATGGCACTTACTCACTGATTATAGACTTATTAACTTATTATCATACCTCGATAAACTAATGGGAAAAAAATGATCTCAAGGGACTAATTTATTAGTTAGAAAGTAATGATCTCCTAAATAACATAAAAAATGCATCACGCCCGAACAGGCAGACGACCCACAATTTAGCCTGTCAATCAGAAATTATTTTCAATTCATTTAATCACAAACAAGCGACTGTAACTGTCTTTCTGGGTGGACAGAAAGCGTTCGACAATGTGTTGCATTACGGCCTAGGCTATAAGCTCTCTTTACTAAACGTCCCCGCTACTCTCAACCAGCTGGGCCTCTAACTTCCTGTGTTCAGGCACTACAAGGTCAAAATATATTCTTCTCTCTCACAAGCCTAGAAGTAGAAGTTCCACAAGGTTCTTCTATGAGCTCACTGTTATGCATAATCTATGTCAATAATATAAGTTTTCCACATGACCTTAACCCTAATTCTCAACTTGCAGAAATATGGCGGTATGGATCCTTCGTACAACCCAATATAAGTAGCTTTTTATATACAAAAATTGGTTAATAAAACTAACATAATGGTACTCAAAATGGGGAGAAAACTAAATGCTGGCAAAACACAAGCCATAGCCTTTCAAGCAAATCCCCCCCAAAAGCCAAAATAAACACATACTCATATTGGAAATCAAACTTAAGGACGGAAAAAAATTGTTTTCTCTCTAATAACACAAATTTCTAGGTTTAACTGTTGATTAAAAGTTAAACTGGTCATATCACGTCAACATACATAAATCTCTTCCAGGATCAACTCCCTGATCAGTATCGCAAGCAAAACCCGAGGTTCCAATCCAACCACCATTATATATATATATATCTATCAAACCGATAGCAGGGTATGGTTGTGTCCAGACTACATCTGGGTACAAATCATAATGAAAGCATAGAGTTACTTCTAACTAGAACCCTTAGAATAGCTTTAAAACTACCGATTTACACACGCATTACCTATCTACATGAACACACACACACACGTTGAATATATTAATAATAGTCTTCTCTCATTAGGCAAAACTTTCTACAAAAAACTAGACGTATATACAATTATTACAATATATTACAGAATTATAATTAGTTTTAAAATAAGACCAATTATACAGTTCATCATTCCGCATTATTCACAAACAATAAACTAATCTAGAACAGCATTCAAAAATAGTAATATGATTAACATCTCCAAGGAGACGAAGAGCGGTAGAAACCACTGGGATCCCTGGCGAACAAGCAAAAGAACTATCAAGAAGTTACTATTACTACTGAGAATTGCTATATTGCTTCAACTATTCCAACACTTGAAACATGGATTAAGGAACATTTGAAAAGAACAGTTTACATGGTGCCCAAAAACACGCATATAACTTTAGTTTTCCAGCTCACAACAACCAGTTTTCAATGATTTG